TTTTTTGTAGTTCTGTATGGACAGAATGCCTTTATGTGGTGCTAAAGATCGAACCTGGTGCACCTCACATGCTAGGCAAGCATTCTGCCACTGAGATACAGCCCCAGCCTGGAATAGCATTTTTTTTTCTTTTTAACCAACAATCTGTCACCTGGAGAAAAGAACGTTTAATAGTTTAAAATCCAACATTTCAGAAACATCTACATTTATTATCTCAGGGAAAGTAGCTTATACTACCATGCAATATTAATCAGCTCAGCTAAGTCTAATTTGAGAATTGCTTACTAGGTTCTCTAGCTACTGAAATACTAAGCCCATACCTCTGCCTCTATGAATCTAGAATTCAATACGGTGTATCACAACTTAAGTTTTGAGCTAGGAAGGACCTTGAATATTTGGTCAAACACTATATCTGCTAAAAATGAGTCCTGTCCAAAGTGAAGGAAATATCCTTGCTGATGACAGGAACTGCTTTCTTGAGCAAGGATTTGGGATGATTTACCTGGTGATTATGGAGCTTTAGAAAAGAACATGTTCCTTTAAAATATTCTTGCCAGAGGGATATTGTGCATGTGTGTGGTTCCTACTACTTAGGAAGCTGAGAAGGATCCCTTGAAGCCCAGGAGTTTGAGGCCAGCATGGGAAACATAGTGAAACCCTATCTTGTAAAAACAGACCATTCCCCAAAGATCTCAAAAAGCAACTCTGTGATATAAAGAGTCTACATGTAACCTGCTGAGGCACATTATGTTTACATGTTGCTTAAAAAGGTAAAGAAGAAAAACTAATAGGTATCAGATAACTGCAATGTTTTGTTTGTTTGTTTGTTTGTTTTTGAGAGGGGGGCCAGGAATTGAACCTAGGAACCCTTAACAACTGAGCTATGTCTAGAGCCCTTTTTTTTTAATTTGAGAAAGAGTTTCACTAAGTTGTTGAGGCTGACTTTGAACTTGGGATCATCCTGCCTCAGCCTCCAGAGTCACTGGGTTTCAGGTGTCACCACCACACCTGGCTGCAATATTCCTGATGATGCAAATTCTTTAAAATTGAACTGGCCATATTTTTAAACCTTGAAAAACTTAAGATCCAAACTGCAATTATATACTCTGATTTTAAGAAGTCTTATGCACAAAAACAATTAGAAATTCAGCTGAACTCAAACTGCCAATAAACAGATCTAGCAACTGGAACCCCTCGCACTAGAAAGCTAAAGGTTTCATAAGGTAGTTACTGTTGTAATTACACTACTTTTTCACCAACTGGTCCTATGTACAAGTGTTCAGTTGTGGTCAGTTTTCCGTTGTCTAATAGGAGAATTGCTTTAAATTCTCTACACAAAGAGTAACATTAAAATAAATGTCATTTAAAAATGTTAAGACCGTAGGATTCTAGCATGTATTATGTTTTTCTGACTAAAGTCTCGTTTCAATAACTTTTAGCAGAAGATAACATACATATGTACATATATATCTATATACACACATATCTATATAAGTTTGTGTGTATATATACATAGTTATTATAACAGAAGTGCTTCCTTGAATGGGGTTTTAGAATGAACTACCTTTTTTTTGGAAATGGATATGTTCCTTTAAAATGTGGCTTATCTCAAAGAGCTACTCTTTATGAAGTGATATAAATAGTTCACAAATAATAATAGCAAAAAGTTGACAGTGATACTAATTAAAATACAAATATACACTCACACCTGCCATCTACAATATTGTTTTGGTCCTTTATCTTAATTTGCCTTTATCCTTTTATTCTCTATTATCAACTGGCCTTAATAAACAAAACTGACACTGATTTCATTGCAACTGATGCACATTTTAGCACATTCATAATATAAAAATGAAAATTTATAGGTACAATTTGGGTGTACTTAGATTAGGGTTACAGGTTATCAAAAGTTAACACACAACTATCTGAACACACAAATATCTGAACAATAACTTAACAGTTTACCAAGTTACAAAACAACAGTGCACTGCTATATATCAGAATAACCCATGACTTAAGCATCAAGCAAGACTAACAATCTTCTATTGTCAATCATCTTTAGATCTACTTGTAGGAAAAAAATCAAAGAAGTGAAGTATTATTGTTTAGATTGGTGGAAGGGACATTGTAGTAACTGACCTATTATACTTTTGACAAGTAGAAGAATTGTGTGGTATATTTTTCTGACTTTCAGGAAAAAGCTGCTTAGAATTTTTTTTTTAATTTTGCTTTCAAGTAGAATCACTTAGACATAGATAGTCTTTGAAGCAAAACCACTTAGAAACCAGTATTTTGTGGGATTGAGAGAAGATTACTATAGGAGAGCAAAAAGCTTAAATGTTTCATTTTAAGAATTTGAGAGAATAGATAGTTTATATCAAATAAGATTTTATATTACATAAACAAAATTCATAAAGTCACCTTATTACATAAAAAATCAGTGCTAGCAAATAGTTGAAGTTTATACTTCTCTGAAAAATGTTAATGTTGTCACACTAAATTTTTCATCTAGATGTATGTTAGAAAAGAATAATAGGACAGAGTCTTTAGATGCAGGGACAATCCAAATGTTTATCAAACTTCTGAAATATAAGTAAACCCCTACAACTTAGATCCAGAAAATGAAATCAAGAGGAAGGTGCAACTCAAGAGGAAGGACTACTCAAAAGTGGCAATTGATCATGATTAGTCTTTTAAAATGCCAAGAATTATTTATATGCTAGTATACTTTTTACTAATATAATAAATTCTAATGAAGTTTCTTAGAGATGTCCAAAATGTCAGAGTGAAATATCTATCTCTGGCTATTATAAAGTGAGCACTTATTTAGACTGACATCATGGCAAAGAATGCACTAATGATTCCTGTCTTCTTCCCATGCTCTTAGTAAGCAATCAGTATCCCTTTCAGATTAAAAAGCAATTCAGGATTCAAGGGGACTTCCCTCAAACAGCACACACACGTACAGTATCACTTCCATCTATTATTGTGCCTTCCATTACAAAACTCAAAAATGTGACATTTCTTATGTATAAAAAGTTTAAAATGTAGTTCTTACCAAATGCAAACACAATGACCAGCTGCTATAAAGTGTACATTCTATCCTACATAAAGAAATAATTAAACTCAATACGAGCAAAAATTCCTCAATGTTAAATTCACCCAACTTCTCAAATACACTTGGTCCTTCTGATTTTCACAGGTACCTTGCCTTGCCTGTTTCCCCCATTTTTTTTGTAGTTTCCCAAAAGCTGCTTTTGTATATAATAACTCAATAGAAAAATCTTCACCTGCAAATAAAAGGTAGATTTTTTTTCACAGCTATAGGCTGTAGTATTGATTTCTCCAGATTATCAATGGAGAACAGAAAATATGTATGACACTGTTAATTCCAGATTCTAAGAAAACTGTCCCAAGATCCTGTTGCCACAGCCATGCCATCATCAGTCACACCTAAACAGCTGACACGGTTGTCATGACCAGCGAGGACACCTAAAAAAAATAGTTCAATACAAAGTTAGCAACCATCGTTTTAGTATTTAAAAAGTATGTACATAAACATTTTAAAGGTATGTACCCTGCTATGTACTCTAGCAGGGTAACCAGGTTCCTTTGAGTGGGCAGACCGCAATAAGTTAAGACGTGTGTAAAACACACCTTTTTGTATTATTTGAATTGTTGATATACACATCAATTTGTTTTTAGTTTTTTAAAAAACATTCTGTAATTAAGCTACTTTATATCTAGAAAAACCACAGTTTACATCACTGATATATTCATGATATTTCAATTTTGCTACTGAGCTGTGCTTTCAACAAAAATAAAATTTTAAGTGAAGTTCAATGAAGTAGACTTTTTGTTTTACAAGAACAAAAACATGAAAGTTGCCTTATATCTCTATTTCCAATACCAACTATATATATTTCTAGAAAAACTGAAGTTTACATCACTAATATGTTCATGATATTTCAATTTTGCTCTCTCCATATATAGAGTTTATTCTGTTATCCACCAAACATAACTGTGGTTAAAATGTTGGTTATAACTCTAAACCATCCAACTCAATGAATTTTTATTTCATCTTAAACTCACTTGATATCCTGATCACTACATAGGATAAAATGAAGTATCCATTTTGGAGAGGGTTTGGGAATGAGAAATGTAAAAAAAAAAAAAAAAAAAAGTTTTTTTTCAGTACTACTACCAAGCTACCTTTCCAGCCCTTATTTTGAGACAGGGTCTCACTAAATTATCAGACTGACATTTAACTTGCAATCCTCCTGCCTCAGCTTCCCAAGTTGCTAGGATTACAAATGTGTACCACCAAGCCTAGCTATAAAGTTTACTTTCTAATTATGGCTCCCAGTTTTTTTTCTGGAAATCAGCCCTCAAACCAGCAGCTAGATTATGCATTCCAGGTAGAAAAGTAAAAGATGCATCTGGGGTGGAACATGGCTAGTCCAAAGAGGGGGAAAGGCTGTAAGTTATACCACAGGTTCCCCAGTGAAAGCCTGGCTAGATCATCCTTTAGTGAGCCCTACTGTCATCACACCCAACCATAGCTGGATATATGGAGTTTCAAATAGTTTTGGTGCCTCTAAGTATGAACAAGAAGCCAAGAATCACCAGTCTTTTAAGGAAATAATCCAAAAATAAGGACAGGATAGAACAAAAAATAGGAACATAGGAAAAAAAAACAATTTGGAAAAACAAAAGACTATGCTTGAAGAAGAAAACCTTAAGAAATAATTCACTAGTAATCTCAAAGAAGCAGAATACATCAATCAGGAGAAAAATAATAGATGCCATAAAAATGAAAGACAAAAACAGCTCTTAAAAAGATGGCAGCAAAAATGGAAACCAACACTTAAGGGTTGAAAGAAAAGATGAAGATTCCAGCAACTCAGGAGGCTGAGATGTGAGGATCCCAAGTTCAAGACCAGGCCCAGCAACTTAGAACAACATCATATATATAGTTTATCCTTCAGCAACATAGAAGACCATTAACTTAAAAAAATCAGAAGGACTGGGAATATAGCTCTGTGGTACTGCTCAAGACCCTGGATTCAATCTCCAGAACCACAAAAACAAAATCAAAAAAGTTCACCAAATACCCAGTGCAATGGATGAAAATGGTTCCACTCAAAGACAAAAGAAAATCTGAGGATTCATTAGTGACTAGCTCATCAGAACCAAAAAGATAAAATCTAAAAAAATCAACTCCAGAGAATACAAAAATACTGTATAGCAAAGGATGTCATACCTTATTGTTCAGTAGTAAACACTTCTTAAAAAGTCATAATTATATAACACACAATGCTGTTGTTTATGAATGTAAACAAAACCAGCTGTAAGGGAAAACTGGAAGATGGGAAGCATGTGACTACTGAGGGAAGAGGGATGCTAAGCCATACCCTTGCCATCCATGACAGTAGTTCAACAGAGAATGCCTCAAAGTTTCTTAAACAGAAAAAAAAATCAAGTAACAGCAATATAGTCCTATTTAAAGATATGGAAATAAATAAAAGTCTAAAGTAGCTAATTTGGAAAGTGGAGTATATGGGTTAGAGTCAAAGATAACAAGTCACATAGAAACATTCAATTGCTTAAATATAATTTAAAGTAAAATTTTGATTTTTTAAATAGGAAGGACAGCAGAATAAAATAGACACTACTATTGCTCTATGTATATTCGTGACTGTACGACCAATGTGATTCAGCAACCTGTACACTCAGAAAAAGGAGAAATTATACCCCCATTTGATTCAAATGTATGATATGTCAAGATCATTGTATGGTCTTGTGTAACTAATTAAAACAAATTAAAATTGCTTTAATTTGTAATTAACCACAGTCCCCGATGTGGCTTGATTGTGTACTCTAATATTTGGGAACCTGCAAGGGAGAAATCCGAGAATGAGACTAAAAGAAGATAATAGGTCTATATTCTATGCCCCACAAGATCTGTTCCAAGAGGAAGACAACCCACAGCAGTTAAACTACTTTCTGTCAGGTTTTAAGAAAACTGAGATTTATTATAAAAATCATATTATTCATCTTTATACTGAAATTTAGCAAACAAGAAAATATTATGGAACTCAATGTTACTCTTCAGAACCTTAATAAAAATACAGATGATAGTTTGTAGGTCCTCTCAAGTGTAATGACAATGAACACGAAGGCTCTGAAGCTCCTGGGGACTTATTTACCAACCTGCACGATCTCCTTTCAGCGTGTCCCATACATTACAATTAAAGTCATCATAACCAGCCAGCAGGAGGCGCCCACTTTTTGAGAAAGCTACAGAAGTGATTCCACAGATTATATTGTCATGAGAATACAACAACAACTCTTGGTCTGCTCGGAGGTCAAAGAGCCGGCAAGTAGCATCATCGGAGCCAGTGGCAAAGGCATATCCATTTGGAAAAAACTAGAAAGAAAAGCAACACACATTTATTCCACATGTGTACATGAAAATCATGGGAGGCAGTACAATAACAGACTGGGTCAAGGCAGATCTAGACTAGAATTCCAACTTTGTTACTTACCCTGTAAGTGACTGCTAGACACTAAAGAGTTTTAAATATTCTGGGCCTTAGTTTCAGAGTTACGATTGAATAAAATGACATATGCAAAGCACCTAGTCCACTGTTCAGCACATAGCAAATGTTAAATACTGGCTCTGCTTCTCTGCTATGTTTATTAAAACACTGAAATCAACAGGGGATAGAGCAGGGAAGTGCTGGGGAAGTGATACTGGTCAAATTATATTGTTACATTGTGTAAAAAAACACTAAGTCATGTATTAGTATTTATAGAATAAGGTGGCATGTGTATTTAAGTATAAGTGCATATGCGTGTGTGTGTGTGTGTGTGTATGTATACATATATATATGAAGATTTTTGAATATTTGGATATTTTGAATATATATAAAGAAATATTCCAAAATCATATTATGAGATATAGAAAAGATTTTATAAAAGAAAACATAAAACATTACAATAATACTAGGTAATAAATGAGTAATAAAGAAAACTATGTATGGTTAGTCTGTGAATAATATTTCTGATACTGGGACTATACAACAATGACTTTTTTACAAAGGGAAAATCACATTCTATATGTTTATCAGCCATCTGTTTTCTTGCTTCAAATGTTACTTTACAGTCTTATTGTTTGTCTATTAATATTGTTTACTTTAAAAATATGCAGCACAGGAGGCTGAGGCAGGAGAATCACAAGTTTGAGGCCAACCTCAGCAACTTAGTGAGGCCCTAAGCAACTTAGTGAGACTCTATCTCAAAGTAAAAAATAAAAAGGGATGGGATATTGCTCAGTGATTTAGCATCCTTGAATTCAAGCCCCAGTACAGAAACACACACACACACACATACACACACACGCAGTAGTTTTACATTTTTGTGCAGTCAAATTTATCTTTCCCTTGAGATTTCTTCCGTTGCTTTCTATAAACCTTCTCCAGGTTGATAGCTGATAAATGTTGTTATGTTCATTTTAATTTCATTTTTCACATCTTAATTTTTATGCATCTGGAGCTTATTCGATAAACAGCATTCAGTGTAAGAATCTAATGCAATTTCCTTAATAGTTCAGCAATTGTTCCCTCTGTTAACTGATTTTTCTATTTGATTGAAGGGAAGGAAGGAAGGGAAAAGAAGGAATTATGGAATGAAATTGACAAAATTTTGCTAGGTACACATTTGATTTTTAAAATAGTTTTTGTAATCCAGAATATACAGTGAACTTTTTTCTTTGGGTTTCTAGATAGCTAAACACACCTCTTTCAAATAATATTTTTCCTAGTTTCTAATGCATCTCTTATTTTCATTGTAATCAACTATACTGGCTGGAAGTTTCAGAATGATTTAAATAACGGTGATAGTGTTACTGCTGTCCTCTTGCTACCAGGTGAATGCCTTTGCTGTGTTTCACAATCCAGGTATTGGTGGGGTAGGCAGTGTTCACAGGTTAATCAGTTTCTGGAAATGCAAACACTTGTAATGCTTTTTAGGATGGTGAAAGCTTGGTCCTGGTGGAGGTAGTGTCTCCACACTAAATGAGCAAATTCTTTTCCTTTTCAAACTCCTTGAGGGCTTGATAAGCCTCTCACAATTTCTTCCTTCCAACTTCTAAGCATCCCTTCATCAGTCATCCCAGACTACAGTGCCGTTCAGAAGGTCCTCTGAAAAGCAAGATTTTACCAAATCCTTACAGCCCACTCACACTCTAGTATTTCTGATCATTTGCTTTCATTTTAATAACAGCAAAACACTCTGTCGTTCCTTTGGAGAAAGTCCAACACTAACTTACATGTCCAAATAACTTACATGTCAAAGAAGAAATGAAAGAAAATCAGAATTCTGAACTGAATGAAAATGAAAACACAAAGCATCAAAATTTGAAGGACATAGTTTCAAGCAATACTGAGAAAGAAATTTATAGGTGTAAGCTCCAGTATTAGAAAAGAAAATAGTTTCAAATCAATATTGGTTTCTGCCTTAAGAAACTAGAGAAAGAAAGCAAATGACATCCAAGTTTCATTCAATTGAAAAATAATAAAGATCTGAGTGAAAAATCCATGAAACAGAAAACAGACAAACAAACAAACAAAATAGGGAACATCACTGGAAACAAAAGCTGAGGGTTAGGGATGTGACTCAGTGGCAGAGCACTTGCCTAACATGCAAAAGGCCCAGGGATCCTCAGCACCAAACCAAACAAAACAACAACAACAACAACAACAAAAAAAAAAACCTCCAAAAAACAAAAGCTGGCTCTTTGAGAAGATAAGTAAAACTGCTAAGCTTCCAGCTAGAACTATTCATTTTGCTAGGGCTGCCATAACAAGGCATCATAAACTGGTGGTTTAAACAACAAAATGTGTTGTCTCACAATTCTGGAAGCTAGACGTTCAATATCAAGAGGTCTGAGGGCTGTGAGGGAAGAGCCCGTTAGGCCTTTCTCCTCTGCTTGTGGATGGTCATCTTCTCCCTTCTCTCTTCATATCTGTCTTCTTGTTATGCTCAGCTGTCTTCAAACCTCCCTCTTTCATAAGGACACCAGTCACTTTGGAGAGTGGCCCACCCAAACCAGGAGGACCTCATTTAGGTAATTACATCTGTAATAAACCTGTTTTAACAAGGTCACATTCTAAGTTACTGGGGCTTAGGGCTTCAACATATAAATTTTGGATGGACACAATTCGGCCCACAGTACCAGACTATTTAGGAAAAAGTACAAATTACCAACACCATAAACGAGAAGGAAAAATCCTACATATTCTACAAATGTTAAAAGAATAGTAAGGAAAGAGTATAAAAAATTTAAAACCAATACATTTGACAGTGTAGATGATATGAATCCCTTAAAAGATACAGACTACCAAAACTCACTCAAAAAAAAAAAAAAATAGGCCAGGTACAGTGGTGCATACCTATAATCCTGGCAGCTCAGGAGGCTGAGGCAGGAGGATTGTAAATTCAAGGTCAGTCTCAGCAAATTAGCAAGATCCTGTCTCAAAATAAAATTTAGGAAGGACTGGGGTGTGTCTCAGTGGTAAAGCTCCCCTAGGTTCAATCTCCAGTACAAAAAAGAAAAGAGCCTACACCTAATATGACATAAGATCTGGAGTTTAAAATCTTTTTGAGGAAAACTTCCTGGCTAGAGAGCTTCACAGATAAATTCAGCCAAGTATTTATGAAGCAATAACAATTCTATACAAACTTCCAGAAAGCTGAATAGGAATAGGAGGGAAGGCTTCCCAATGCCTCCTCTGAGGCCAGCATTATTTGATACAAAAGCCAGACAAAACATTTCCAGAAATGAAAAATAGAGCAATGACTTTATGAACAGGAATGCAAAACTTCACAACAAAAATTTCAGCAATCAAATCCACTAATATATAAAAAGAATAATGCATTATAACCAATTGTGGTTTGTCCCGGAAATGCAGGGGTGCATTAATATTTAAAAATCAGTGACAAATGTCAATTAGCTTGATTTAATGCATTCCACGGTGTGTGTATATATGTATGAACATAACTATGCATTATAAATATGTAAAGATTTTATTTGTCACTTATACCCTTTTAAAGCTGGGGTTGGGGAGAGCCTTGATAGGAACAGCTGCATTTGGTCCTGGGAATGAAATTAATAATTCCAATTTATAATTATTAACAATACTTTTACTGCCAAGAAACACATGGAGGTCCCACAAATATAAACTCAAGTATAAAATTTCAGAAACTCAGTGAACTATTCAGTGAGGTTTAAATGGGTCTTGCCTACAAATCAGATATTATGGCTTGAGTTCCTAGCACACGATAAACAGTATGAGAAAATTTGGGGGACATTAAAAGTCACCACTGAATATAACTAGAAAGTGAAAATACAATAAAGTTGGTCATAATTCCATCTGAGACAAAAAAGGAATCATATCTTCCTTTGAACCATTTGACAGTGTGGATGATTCCAAAAGAAAGTCTCAATATTTATTTTAGTAAAGATGGTGATAACATCCAGCCCACCTCCCTGCAAAAAGCAGAAGAAAAATCAATCAATGTAAATTCACCATTTTAACAGACTGAAAAGGGGGAGCTACACACGACCGTCTCAACGGATGGAGAAAAGGTACCTGATAAAATTCAAAGCCCTTTCCTGATTTCAAAATTTAGTGAATTAGGAATATAAGAGGACATCCTAGCCTGAGAGACATGCTGGGGTGAGTCGGGAAGGCTGGGCTTGCCAGCTCTAAGACTCTCAAACCAGGCTGACCTGGGGTGGGGGTAGCAAAATATTTACTTTCTCTGATGTTCTCCTTAAAATCATGTAAAAGTGACTTTCAATATGTAAATGATAAAAACTTAACCATTTTAAATCTGAAAATATCTTCTTATAAAATTAGAATGTCTTATACATCTGTCTTTGGTGACAGTGGTACTTTGGAAATCCCAGGCACATCTATACACTTTGGCATCTGATGTACATAGGGACATTTGCCTGTGGCAGAGTCCCACATCTCCTAACACCTTCCCCTGGATCCTCACCATTGATAATTGTTTTGAAGGCTATTCAGAATGTCACTTTTGCTTTATCCTATTTATAAACACATATGACTAGTTCATTCTCACATATACTGAGTACTTTTTGTCTGGCTTAATCAACTTACAGTTCTCTGTTTTTTTGTTTTTTTTGTTTGTTTGTTTTAAATGAGAGCTCATGCAGACAGTAAATGGCAGAACTAATATTTAATCCCAAGTATGGCTCACCTTAGAAGCTACACTCTTTACACTAAACAGCTGCCTTTTCATTTGTTACTGGTCTCTCTCTAGGTTGTTCCCTTTGGCCCAAGAGAGTTGTTTTTCTCAGCTGAACACACTGCTGTGTTCAGATGAGATTTGGTCCTGCTTCTTCAAGGTGAGCTATCCCTCTAATTTGAAAGGAAACCTGTATTTTGGGCTGGGAGTGTAACTTAATGGTAGACTCCTCACCGATCATGCTCAAGGCCTTGGGTTCAATCCCCAGTACCATATAAACAGCAACAAAAATAATTCTTATGTTTCATCTGCAAATGAAAACCTCTGGATTAAACTTTTTCTCACATCAAACACTATTATTTGGAAATTTGATGTTAAAAGAGCACATTATTTATAAGAATCCTTGAGAGCAATTTTGTTATTTAAAATCTTGCCACAGAGGTCAAGACTTTAAATGCATAATACATTTTTTAAAAATTGCAATTTCAAAACAAACAATGTGATGCACTTACACTGACAGCATTAATATCTGAGACGTGTCCTGTGAAAGACTGTCTACACATTCCATCTCGAATATCCCATAATTTGGAAGAGGCGTCACAAGCACCAGAAACAAAAGTGCGCATGTCAGGACTCAGAGAAAGACTCATGACATCTCCAGAGTGCCCAGTGAATGTGGTGGTCTGCTGGGCAGTTTCTATGTCCCATAAAGCACTGTAATTATAAAAAAAAAAAACAACCCTCAATGACCAGTATTGTGTCTGCTGTTAGCTCCTACAAACTACCCTCAACCTCCAATCAGTGTACTTCTGGGATAAACTTACCAAGTTGTATCTCCTGAACTTGTAACAATCTGGCTGTCATCTAAAAAGCGACAGCAGGACAAGTAACCTGCAGCACAGAAAGTAGAAAATTTTAGGTTATATCACTGATCAAATAAGCCAAGTATCACATGGAATAGTAATATTCTTTCAAAAATATAACACCCGGGTGGCGAGTGTGTCTGTATGATCTATAGTTCTGCTTTTCATTACTTTAACTCCACACTGCAACTAACTTGTATCAACAAGTTCTACTGAGGCACTCAGTACCTCAATGGCATTGGGCACTCTGAAGGTTACAAAGCTGAAGACAACATCTAAGACAGTTACCAAGGAAAGAAGATGCTCCCTTACACACTTAATTACAATCCAAGCTGTTAAGAAACTGGGAGGAAACCTTAAAAATACAGAGAGAAGTGAGAACATCCATGGAGGTTTTATGAAAGATGTAGCATATGAATGCCCAGCATCTCTCAGTACTTCACAGTATGGAAATAGCAGGGAAATACTGTGCTAGAGACTTTTGTAAAAACACAATAAATAATTTTTGTAATGACAAAAATTCAGATGGGTAGAAATCAAAGGAGTGGCAGTAAATTCCTAATTAACACTACTAACCAAGTACTACACTACAGAACTGTGAGGTGCACACTGGCAAATAAGGCAAGCCAATATCACACAGTGCAAAATGCTCCCTTCATGTATTATCATACATACTTTTGGTTATATAACTGAGTAGAGATGCCACGAATCCCATACTTGTTACATGGTAGCAAAAAAGATATATAATTGCATTGTCTTTTTATTTTATACTTTTCATGATTGTTTAAATTTTTATAGTAAATTTATCATTTTTTTTACAGGAATAACTGCTATTTTCAAAAGAAAAAATAAAATTGTGGGGAGCTGGAAGTAGTACAGTTCCTTGGAAAAGCATGTGGTTAGCATGCATGAGGTCCTGGGTTCAATCTCTAGTACCCAAATAATATTAAAATAAAATTAAGGTCATTGATGTTTTCTTGTTTTATGTATAGGTGTTGTAAGTTTTTGTCATTTCTTAAGCTTTTTAATATTTTAATTACAATGCCCTAATGTGAAGAAGTTTGGACTTACATATATTACAAGGAAAATTAGTTTATAGTAAGATTAAAAGGTAAGTAAAATGTCCATGAGAATAAAATTTTCTCTGAACAGTTTAAAAATGAAATCACAAAATATCTACTTGAAGTGAAACTGGAAGTTTTGTACTAATTTAATCCTTAATCTACCTTTTCATTTTTTTATCAGTGAACCTTTTAATTGTTCCTTCTATATTATTCTTCTCCATGCTTGGCTTACATCATTACATGACTTTTGTTGCAGATAGTGTGAGTGTACTAGATTTGTTTGCTTCTATCTAGTCTATTGTTTTAAGTATTGTCAGGAGGACTTTTGGTTTGACCAAGTAGTTTTGCAAAGTCTTTCTCCACCTGGTAACATATGAATGTATAGAAGTAAAGCTAAAAATTGCAAACCTTGTTTTATTTGTCATACTCCTTCTGGTGTTTATGAATTGATGTTATTTGAAAGCTTTTTGTAATGTTAAAAACAATCCAAAGAGAGAAATCTTTTTTTTTTAGAATTTTTAATATTTATTTTTTAGTTCTCGGTGGATACAACATCTTTGTTGGTATGTGGTGCTGAGGATCAAACCCGGGTCGCACGCATGCCAGGCGAGCGCGCTACCACTTGAGCCACATCCCCAGCCTGCCAAAGACAGAAATCTTTACAAAGATGCAAAAAAAAAAAAAAAAAAAAATTAAGGTCATTGCATGCATGATTTTTAAAAGTTATCATTTCCCTATTTCAGAGTAATTTCTAGTCTTTCCCCATTAACACTCATCCTTTAGTCAGTTGAGCCCAATTTGTCATGTATCTTGGGTCAGTGAAGTCTAGGGAAGAAGCAAGGTGGGACAGGAGAGAAGAGTGTTTAGTGATGCTCACCTGTGTGACCTGGCAACTCTCGGCTCACTCTCACGTTTCCCTCTCTGGTTTTTAAGTTATATATAGAGCAGATGTTGTCCAGACCTCCACAAGCAACATAATTACCAGATGGGGCATAAGCACAGGTCATCACCCAAGAGGATCTCAAAGGAATAGCATGCATCTATGAAACAAATACAACCCACAAACTATCACTATGGAAAGATTACAAACACAGTCATTTATTTTTAAAATCTACTTACAATGAAGTAAATATTATTAAAATTAAATACATATAAGAAAAATAAGCCAAATAAAAATATGACAACTTGAAAAAGTATTTATCTTTCAAAATTATCAAATTTAAAATACCAATCCACATACAAATGCCTTTTACCATTATTTCTGCATTATTAAATCATTCGGAGTTAAGAAGTATTGTTTTTAGAAATTGCTTTTAGTACAAGCACGGACATAAGGGTGTTCCAATGCTAAAATACCCATCTGAAACATTAAGTGGCACGCAAAAGAAGAATCTCCTCCATAACACCGAACAATAAAAAGGAAGGTAATTAACAAGTATCAGTTCTTTAAAGAGGTTCTTTCACAAAGAGATGACACTAGCATCCCTGCATTAATAGGCACAGATTCTGAGATCTCACTCAAACAATGGTAATAGTTGTGCGTAGATCTAGTCACACCTGTCTGGTGACTTAACTCCAAACTTCTGCAGGTCACATGGAAAAACTGAAGGTGTCTGGAAAAACAAAGCTAAATGCTCTGTATGGGGAATGAACACATCCCATGCCTACTACTATGCTCTTCCTTAACCTAAAATAATGTTTTTGAAGTGCAGTTTTTTAAAAAATGGAGTTGAAAGAGACATGCTTAATGCCCATTAATACAGAAAAACTGTTATATAGTTATCTTAGCTAGCTTTAAAATCTCAAGCAGCTTGGGGTATAGCTCTGATAGAGTACTTGCTCAACATGTGCAAGTGTTGATCAACACTTTTGGTGCTGTTGATCAAACACTGGGTTTGATCAACAGCACCAAAAAAAAAAAAAGAAGTTATTATTTCACTAAATAATTACTGGGATTATTATAAATATAATGGGATTCCTTCCAGTGGATATATTAAGAGAATATTGTATTTGACCACCAAGAGACCTAAACAAGTTGTAATTTGCCTCTAATCTACTATATCTTCCAATTAGTTCAGAACCAGAAATCAATGCCTAGAGTGGGCCAAGGAAAAGCTTTATACTAGCCATCTAGCTTACCCATACTAGAAATAAAAATCTCTGGGTCTTTCACATTAGAATATGCGATTTTAAAAAAATAATTTATGTAAAAAAATTTCAATATAAATTAGGAAATTCAAGCCAAACACTCTGAACAATATTCCTGTAGTTTGTCCTTGGAAATAAAAAAAAGGACTAAACATTAAAAGCAAACACTAAGCCTAAAGAGAGGATCTAGATTAAAATAAATAAAATGTTAATCTCAGAAGGCAAATAAAGTTTGAAGAAAGAATAAAAGAAAGAATTGGTGGACAGCAAAACAAACATAAGATTACTTAGAAGAAGGATTAAGAAATTCTACCTTATTTGTTGTATAGCTATCCCAAATAATTAATTTTCCATCTTGGGAAGCACTTACTAGTAGCCTAGAGGAACAAACACAAAAATAATTTGATACTTAGAGGAAAAAAGAGTTTAAATTAGTTATGCATTGCATTAATGTAGGACAGTTCAGAAAAGAAAGTAACAAATTTTTCCAATAAAAACCTGATACCAAGAAATGTTCTTCCAACTTTTAAAAAATGTATGCTACATGTCAAAAATTTTGAACATACATCATAAAATTTAGCAATTTGACTGAGAATGTCTATGGCTCATCATTTCAAGTGATTGGATTTATCAGTCATTATTCAAGGTTTTGGTAGACATTAGCTGACTGGCTGTCTCATTTAGTATTACCAATTAAATTGAATGGCAGTAGAGTACGTACAGAATTAAAGGCACACTTCATTCAATCTAAACACACCAACAGGGATCTGTGAGTGCACTGCAGTGTCACAGGTACAAATGTGGCCCTATCTCCATCCTTGAGTTCTCTACCATCTGGAGGAGAAAAGACGTTTGTGTATATTTATAATAAGTCAAGGGAATGAAAACTGTCACAAGAGTGGTATAAAGTACATCCCACAGGAAAATAAAAGAGGAATGAATAACTGCTACTTGAATTAACTAAAATTCAGTTGGTAGAGTGTTTTCCTCACATGCACAAGGCCCTGGGTTCCATCCCCAGCACCACCACCAAAAAAAAAGAAGAGAGAGAGAGAATGCATCTTTAAAAATGGAATTAACAGCTAAAGATAGAGAAAACTGTGTATTCTAAGGGTAGGGCTGAAGTATGATCAATGACAACAGGTGGAAAAATACAGTGAATGTTTCAGGACTGGGTCTTCCAATTTTGTAGTTTGTGAAAAATAGGAAACATAAGCTAAGAAAAGTAGACCAGATTTAACTACAGGAAACATTATTTGCTAGACTATGGGGTATAAACTCTTGACTAAGTACTTATTAGTCATTGAATTTTTAATTTTGTTCTGGAATTATATTTTTCACCATGATATAAAATTTACAAGATTAAAAAAAAAATTACCTTGCTAAGCCTAATTCCCAGCAGCTCATCTGAGTTCCCTTCCCCTTAAGAAAATAACATCATTTCTCTTTTTTCTAGGGGCGGGGTGGGGGGGCGGGTGGTGGTTACCAGAGATTGAACTCAACCACTGAGCCACATCTCCAGCCCTATTTTGTGTTTTATTTAGAGACAGGGTCTCCCTGAGTTGCTTTGTGCCTTGCTTTTGCTGAGGCTGGCTTTGAACTCAAAATCCTCCTGCCTCAAGCCACTGTGATTACAGGCATGTGCCATTGTGCCTGGCTATCATCAGGTTCTTAATGTTGTAAATATTAATTTTGTTGTTACAAAAGGGAAGATCTGATAGTAGAGAATAGGAACCCATGGAAAATTCTTCAAAAATCAATTGGCATCATCAGTTTCAGAATGGGTAGGAAGACAATGTGAGGCAGGTTCCTGGGGGACTTGTTTGCTTTTGAGAAAGAAAGGATGACTAGTGTTGTTTCAAGTAACAGGATTTCAGGTTAAAATTCTGCTCTATCAACAAGGCACATTATTTTTACCCTAAATTTTTTTTTAAGAAAAAGAATACAGTATTTGCCTTAGCTCTATGTCAATTATATAATCTTATCTATCCCCTCCTAAGAGGCACACAGGGTATATTACTTCTCCGTATCCCATTTATATCCAAGAGAAACAAGTGAGGGAGGCTTTCTCTGCTTACAATTTTAGTGTCTCTTGGAAGCAGAGAACACATGTGCAACTTTTATTAAACAATATTTTCTGACATTACACAGTAAGATGAACTAAATCAAAGAAACAAGGTGGTCTCTGAGGCAGCAGGCAGATTTACTACTGCCAGATGTGCTGAATAAAGTGGAGGCTGAACTGAAACCCTAGGAACACAGTGAACAGTGGTAACCAACCATATATCCTGTAAGCCACAGGTGTGTCCAGATGTGTGTGTGTGTGTGTGCACCTGCTGATGCTCAGATTTAATTTGAACATATGCATTTATATGTTGAGTTGGGGGAGTAAAAAAGATGTAGTGAATAAAAATATTCTTGTTTCATGTAATTCGATCCTCTGTGAACTGAGGTAGTAAGAAATTGTAGCAATATCTATTAATTTGCACACAGTGTTCAATATATATTTGTTTATTAACTGAAAGGGTTAATATATAATAAAACTGCTTGGGGCATATTAAAAAAACAAAGTATAATACCCTACTGCAAAAAAAGAAGCCCTCTTTGAAATAGTCTTCCTAGCTCATATGATAAAGGTCTTTTTGAGAAGTAAACTGGCTTTCTCGATTAAAAGTTTCTAAACTTTCAGGCTGCAGATACAGCTCAATGGTAGAGGATTCAAGAGCCCCTGGGTTTGATCCTTGCACCAAAAGAAAAGTTTGAATATTCTTAGTGAAAATAAAGTGTTCAGGGACTGGGTGCGGTGTGCATGCCTGTAATCCCAGTGGCTCGGGAGGCTGAGGCAGGAGGATCTCAAGTTCAAAGCCAGCCTCAGCAACTTAGCAAGACCCTGTCTCTAAATAAAATGTGAAAAGGGGCCTGGGATGTGGCTTAGTGGTTAAGCACCCCTGGGTTCAATCCGCAGTACCAAAAAAAAAAAAAAAAAGAAAAGACAGTGTTCGTATTGGATGCATATTCTGTAAACACTTCATAAATATAGTTTGTTTTTAAACAAAGAAAATGCAAATGATGATTCTTAAGGAAAACAATTTGGATGACAGATTGAAAGTGAGAGGCACAAACCTTGAATCATATCCCCAGTGCATAGCATAGATTTTAGCTAGATGGCCTCTCAGCGTACGTCTTGTTCGCATTTGTATCCGACCCACAGAGTCCATATTTGATGTGATCTTCAGAAAGCAATAAAAACGTTATTCTTTACTTTAGATATCGTTCAGGAGATAAACCTGAAATATTCAATTAGTAGGTGATAAAAAGCAGATATGAAATTTATAGTAATTTTCATTCAATATAAATAATTCTGCAAAATCATTATGGGATCAAAATGCTGTTCATAAAAAAAACTACGGTTAATTTAAAATAACCCTATGTGTCCTTATAGGCAAGACTCTTAACTAAAAAGAACAGATGAACCTCTAAACTTTAATCAAAAATCAGCCACCCTAGAGTCTAGGAAGGGAAGTGAGGACTGGGGGATTGCTTAATGGGTACAACAATATAGTTATACAAAACAAATAGGTTCTTATGTTCTACAATAAAGTACAGAATATAACAGCCTACCTATTATATATTTTATAAAAAAAAAACTAGAAGAGAGGGCTTGAAGCTTCCCAATACAAAGATATAACTGTTGAAGAGAAGGGAAATGCTCATTATCCAGATTTGACCACTACATATTGTGTACCTGCATCACATCATCACATTGTACCTGTAAATATGTACAATTATTATGTATCAATTAAGAAAATTTGCAATTAAACACTCATGAAGATAATCTCCAAGTCATCTGTATCAGTGTCAAGTTACTTCATATGAATCACTAAAACAAATTGGGGGGGAAAAAACTTTACCTGAACAAGCGTTGCATCATTACATGCTTTCCTGGCATCCTGAAACATACAAAAACACATGTTGATAATCCATTTAGATCTAGAATCCTCTAGATCTTATTAACACTTTATTGAAAATGTAGATTTGCAAGTAAATTTTTTTTTACCATACATATAATCTCTATTTAAAATGATTTTGAGCTGGGCATAGAGGCACTCACCTGTGGTCCCAGCAGCTTGGGAGGCTGAGGCAGGAGGATTATGATTCAAAGGCAGCCTCAGCAATTTATCAAGGTCCTAAACAACTTAACAAGACCCTGTCTCTAAATGAAAATTTAAAAACGGATAGGGATGTGGCTCAGTGGTTAAGTGCCCCGAGTTCAATCCCTGATACCAAGGAAAAAATCATGTTTTAAAATACAATTTACATAACCTAAAATTAACCATTTTAACCATCTTAAGATATATGATTCAGTAATTTTTAGTATATTTACAATGCTGTACAACCATCACTCGTATCTAATTCTAGAACATTTCTATCACCTCCCAAAAGGAATCCCATCATCCTATTTCCCTTTTTCCATAATTTCTGTGATTGCTAATCTTCTTTCTTTCTCTATGGATTTACCTCATCTAAGACATTTCATATGTGGCCTTTTTAAATATCTGGCTTCTTTTATTTAGTAATAATATTTTCAAGGTTCAGCTATGTTATAGCATTAATCAGTACCTCAATTCCCTTTTATGGCTAATATTCCATTATATGGATATTCCACATTTTGTTTATCCTTTAATCAAAACTGATATGGGTTTTTTCCCCCACTTTTTGGCTATTACAAAAAATGATGCTATGAGCATTCATGTACAAGTTTTTGTATATAGTTATGTATTTAATTCTTTGGGGTATTAAATAAGAGTGAAAATGGTGAGTAATATAGGAACTCTGTCAAACTATTTTTTTAATATTTATTTTTTAGTTGTAGTTGGACACAATACCTTTATTTTTGTTTATTTATTTTTATGTGGTGCTGAGGATTGAACCCAGGGCCTTGCACGTGCTAGGCAAGCGCTCTACCACTGAGCCACAACCCCAGCCCTCTGTCAAACTATTATTCACATAAGTTATATTACATTCCCATCAACAATGTAGGAGGTTGATTTCTCAATTTCTTCATATCCTCACCAACATTTATTATCATTTATTTTTTAAATTATAGCCATCTTATTAGATGTGAAGAGGTATCTCATTATGGTTTTGCTTTGTTAAAGATCAATGATGTTGAGTACCTCTCTTGTACTTACTATTGGAATAATGTCTATTCCAGGTCTCTGCCAGTACTTCAACTGGGTTGTCATTCTACTGTTCAGTTGTAGTAGTTCTTTATATATATATATTGAATACTAAACCCTTATCAGAGGAATAATTGATAAATATTATCTTCCATTCTTTCAACTGTCCTTTCATTTTCTTGATTGTGTCCTTTAGCACACAAGTTTTTAATTTTGATGAAGTTCAGTTTATCTTTTTCTTTTGGTGTCATATTTAATTTGCGTAATCCAAAGTCAGGAAAATTTACAACTATGTTTACTGCCAAGAATTCTGCACTTTTGAATGTTACATTTAGGTATCATTTTGAGTTATTATTTATATATGGTGTGAGATAGGGGGTCCAAATTCTTTCCTCTACTTGTGGATATCCAAGTGTTCCAGTTCCATTTATTGAAAAGACTATTTTTTCCCTATTGAATGAGTTTGTTAAAAATCAGTGGACCATAAATATATGGATTTGTTTATGGACTTTCAAATTGTAAACCATTGTACAAACTTCTTTATTTACCAGGGATTGAATTTAGGGGTACTTGACCACTGAGCCACATCCCCTGCCCTATTTTGTATTTTATTTAGAGACAGGGTCTTACTGAGTTGCTTAGTGCCTCACTTTTGCTGAGGCTGGCCTTGAATTCGGTCTTCTCCTGCCTCAGCCTCCCAAGATGCTATGATTACAGGTAATGTAATCCCACAGCGCCCCACTCAAACATATTTTTATTTTATGATTTAAAGACTTGCAAAACTGTATCCTGATATAAAATTATTAAGTTGATTTAATAAGCTCACAGTATTCAGAGTTATATTAATTATTAAGGCTTTAGCAGAAAGTAACATTTATTTATATAGGCAACTGTTATTTGTTGCTACTAGGAAGAAAATATTTTAGATCCAATATGCAAAAATATACCTCAGAAATTTTGAGTTGGGGATCTAGCCCAGGCCCTTGCATTTGCTAAGCATATGCTCTACCACTGAGCTATATCTCCAGACACAGTAAAATGATTTTTTTTAATGTAATAGCAACAATTTACACTGAATGACATCCATATTTTTATAACAAATTCCTTCCATGTAAGCAGGTGTTTATGTCTTAATTATTATAAGGTATTCTTTCAGTGAAACCTTAAATTTTTATACAAACAGAGGGAAGATTATAAACAGAAATCAACATAACAAAATAAAGGAGCAATAAATATATTTTAAAAAAACATTAAAACACTTTATTTATTTAGGTGCTGAGGATTAAATCCAGGACCTTGCACATGCTAAGCATGTACTCAACTAGTAAGCTATACCCCAACCCCAGCAAAACATTTTAAACCAAGTTTGTCAGTTAATAACAAATTTAGAGAATTGATATACATGCTAGATTTAAGATAATCTCCCCCTCCACAAAGGTTAGTGTAGTATCCTCTTTATTTTATCATTATTATTATTTGCCTACAGTGCTTTGTATACTCCTAGGCAAAGAGAAGATTTTTACAGAATAAAACCCAACAAAGTCTTTGCAGCATAGACTAGATGGAAGATATGATAATTTTGGCTGCTTTTTCAACCTTCTGGTAAATAGACTATTTCTATGTAAGAGTGTTTCACAATTAGCTGCACAAAAATGTGATTTGACTCTCTCATTCTTAGCCAAATTGTGGGTTTAGAGATCTCATTTGGCAAGGAATAATTTAGCACACTTTTCTGCAATGAAAAGAATGTCTGGAAATGACAGTGATGACCTGAGCCATGTTCCAGAAATAGTGCAGTTGAAGTCTAAAATTCTGAAAAAAAGGTTCTATGAGTTCAGGTTTTATGAAAATGACCTATTATTGTTCAGGCCTTCTTTCTTGATTCAGTCATCTGGTAAAAGACTCAGATGTGCGTGTCATGCCAGGTACCGCTGTAGTCACTGTACGCACAGCAATGGACAAATAACAATTTTTTGCCCTCATAGCATTAACACTAGTATTAACAATACAATTTAAGGGCTGAAAATGAAAATCATTAAACTGCAGGAAAAATCAGTACCAAAATTTAAAACACCATGTTGGAATGCAAAAATTTTACTGACATTTTAGCAGCAGCTAGGGGCAAATTTTCATAATTCAAATAATCTACTCACATCAAGAATTTATTCTTATAAACACTACTATCCATTATAAAACTAAATATAAAAGAATTCCATGCTGTTCAGCATAACAAAAAATAAAAGATCTGATATTAATATCTTTGTGCCAGAAAAAAAAAAAAGGAATGTGGCAGATGTGGTGGTGTACCTCTGGAATCCTAATTACTTGGGAGACTGAGGCAGGATGATTGCAAGTTTGAGTTCAGCCTGGCAACTCAGCAAGATGTTGCCTCAAAATAAAATTTTAAAAGGTTGGAGGTAGAGTTCAGTGCGGAAGTACTGCCTAGCACACGTTAGGCCATGGGTTCAGTCTGTAGTACCACCCCAAAAAGAAGCAAGATAGGTGACATATTTATTGGTATAACTCAATTACAAAAGAAAAAAAAATCTATGTTTTCTTTATTTGTCATTTTTTGAGTTTAAATTTAGTCATATGTTAGGCCAAATAGCATGCATTTCTATTATGCCATGTATTTCCAACATAGTTAGGTAAACACACAGATTTTATTTCTGGAAGGAAGGGGGAAAGAGAAGGAAAAAAGGAGGGAGGGAGGGTCTTTAACTATAGTGTGACATGATTAAACTGAGGAAAAAGTGCCTGGTATTTTATATACACATACTTGAGATCATGGGAGGAGAGGAGTCAGTGAACCTGTGTCCATGACATTGTGCCTGGAATTCTGGTCAGATATGGAAATGATTAAAACAGAATTTTCAATGTAACTAAAAGCAGAAGGGGTAAATGCAAACAAAGGACTAAAATACAGAGCAGATTAACATCAGCCCTGTCATCACAGAGGCCTACTATACGAGTGAGGAGCTGCCCTCATCAGCATTAGCATAAGTCCTGTATGTGTTATTTAATCCTCAGCACAAACCTATAAGGTGGGCATTGGTATTCTTGCTTCACAGCAAAAACACTGAGTGTCAAAAATGTTAGAGACCTGCCTGCGGCGACACATGATAAAAATGTAATCCATACACGTTGTTTCACCATGACACCAATAAGAGAAAGAGAATGAATCCAAGCACAGGACTCTCATAAGGCTTTTAGAGGAGGAACAGGATTCGATGGATAGGATTCGAGAGAGAAAAATTGGAGCAGAGGTAGTAGAACTCCAGGCAAATGAAACAATTTGATGAAAGACAACGAAATAGGAGAGAGCAACACATGTTCAAGGGATACAAAAATGGCAACCAGGCTAGATTGACTAGAGCACAGGTTGCAGGGACAGGTGTTAAATATGGCCAGGAGGCAGTACATCCTTGGTGACGGAGCACGGGCCTTACAGTCCAAACATGATGTCTGAGAGATGAATCCGGTACTTACTGGTTAGGTTTCCTTGGCAAGTTATTTGATCTCACTGAGCCTCGGTCTCCTCAACCTTGCCAAATTTTTTAATCTCAATGAGCCTCAGTTTCCTCAACTATAAAATGAATCAATACCAACTTTTCATAGGACAGCACTATCAGGATGAAAGGAGGTGGGCATGTGATCATGTCTGGCCAATCATCATTGTTCCTCTTAACATCTGGAGTACATGACATAAAGTCAGGATGTCAGAGAATTCATTCTGGTGGTTGGCAGTATAGGTGTAGCACCCCTAGACTGAAAAATCCAACACTTGGGCACCATCACCATGCCACAAGTGGAAAATTCTACACGTGGCCTCATGTGACAAGTTCCAGTCAAAACACAGATACGCTAAAAATATATAAAATTACCTTCAGTCTATGTGTGTAAGGTATATATGAAACATAAATGAATTCTGGGTTCAGACTTGGGTCCTATCTCCAAGATATCTCATTATGCATATATAAATATACCAAAATCCAAAAAGATCTGAAATCCAAAATATTCCTTGTCTCAAGCATTTCAGAGAACAGACACTCAACTGTAATATCTAATTCAGAGACTTGTTTGTGAAGTCTTCTATGAGCATCTCAAGCAAAATAAATCCCTCCTTTGTTCTGAGAGCTCTGTACAGACATAAGGTATCAACTCAGAGTTCTTGCTCACAACTAAATTGTTAATTTCCTTGAATTCCTGGTAATAAGTCTGGTTATAACTTCACTCAGATCAACTCTTTATGATGAGTGTTTTTTTAATATTTATTTTTAGTTGTAGTTGGACACAATATCTTTATTTATTAAATTTTTATGTGGTGCTGAGGATCAAACCCAGGGCCTCACATGTCCTCGGCAAGTACTGTACCGCCGAGCCACAATCCCAGCCCTGATGAGTGTTTTTTCAATGTGTTTTTTGTTGTTGTTATTGTTTTGTTTTGATACTAGGGATTGAACCTGGAGGAGCCACATCCCCAGCCTTTTTTATTTTTTATTTTGAGACGGTGTATCTCCTTTAGTTGCTTAGGCACTTGCTAAATTGCTGAGGTTAACCTTGAACTTGAGTTCCTCCTGCCTCAGGCTCCTCAGTCGATGGGATTTCAAGCATGCACCACCAGCCCAGTATGGTGAGTGTTCTTTACCCTTCCCTTGATTTTCGTCTTCCTTTTCTCTCTCTCTCTCTCTCTGGTAATATCTTCATACAGCTTTATTCTTCAGTTTTAAATTAGGTAAGTTATTCTGAAATAGCTATTACCAAAGATACAGATTGGGAAGAGTCACAGCTATATTCCAAGCTACCAGAGATTCTCCCACTTTGTGCTGAAGTTCTTCATCTATATTTGCAAGCTGTTTTAGCTTTTACTTTTCCCTGTGAAAAGAAGCAGGCAGCTGCCAGGCTACTCACAATTCAGTCTCTCCTCTATCCAGCTCTCCAGGAGGCATACCTACATTTTTTCATTTTTAACTCTGCCTTCTTGATATTCCTCAGTGCCAACAAAGTCCAAGCAAGCATCTGTTTCAATGTTCCAAAGAAGGGATTGTTGGGCTGTCCCTTGGAGAGTGCTTCCTACTTTGTATGAGATTTACAGCTACGATCACCTCTGTCGGAATTGTCCCACAGGCTGCTGCATTTGGCAAACCTTCTCCATCCTTTTATGGCTTGAAGTTCTAAGAGTATTTTAATTTTGCTAAGGCCAGAGCTTGTATTTGTTCCTTATCCTTTTTATTGTCTTGAGCTGATTTCCAAGACTAAAAGAGGTCAGATCTGCCCTTGATCCTGCCTTTTGTAATTTTTAACATTTCTTAGAGATTCACATTTCCTACTTTATCACAGTGTAATGTCTGCCTCACTGTACTGCACCAAAAATCTAGATTCCAGGTGTATGAGTAAGAAGAGAATTGTTTATCTTCCAGCTGAGCTTACAGACATACCTACTATTAACCTCTTAGGGGCATGGAAACCACTTGTAGGCATAGGCACTTATCAGGAATCATTTTCAGAGCATTCACCAGAAGCAAGATTTAAAAAAAAATTGACCATTTCTGGCCTTACAAATTACTTACTGTATGTAAACTGACATACTCAGGAATTTTATACATTGCTGATACTGAAAAAAAAAGTGTAAAAGCTGGGGCTGAGGATGTAGCTCAGTGGCAGAGTGCTTGTTAGCATGCATAGGGCTCTGGGTTCAATCCTTAGCACTGAGATTGGCCGGAGTGGTGGGGTTGTGGGGAAAAGCATTAAAATTTCAAAATGAACTTCTTACCTGGATCTGATTCCGCAGTTGTTCTGCTTCCTGCCTCAATTGTTCCAGTTCACTCATCCTTTGAATCTGTTTACCTCAGTAATTACCAAGTAAAAGTAACTGTTGAGAGAGAGAAGAGAGAGAGACAGGTTGACACTTAGTTGTCCATCTTCAAATTTACTTTTTTTTTTTTTAAAGAGAGAGAGAGAGAGAGAGAGAGAGAGAGAGAGAGAGAGAGAGAGAGAATTTTAATATTTATTTTTTAGTTCTTGGCGGACACAACATCTTTGTTGGTATGTGGTGCTGAGGATCGAACCCGGGCCGCACGCATGCCAGGCGAGCGCGCTACCGCTTGAGCCACATCCCCAGCCCTTCAAATTTACTTTTAAGACTCTAACACATAATTGCTTTTAGCCCTTCTGAAACACTGGTCGATTATTACTAAAATTGACAGTTGCTTAGTAAGTATGGATCTGGGTCATTTACCGAAGGGTTTTATGGAGGAATGTGATGTGAAAGTTGTCAGCACCAAAACAGCCACTTATATCAAACCCTGACAAAACAGAGCCGGAGGCCATGAAGGAGGAGCCCCCAGACATGTGCCTATGAAAGAATCACCCAAGGAATTCCTGGAAACCACAGTGTTCTGGATAAGTCTGCATGCAGAAACTTGCCTCACAGCTGCCTCCGCCATGGGCTAACACCAGCTCCTGCAACAAGCTATGAGAGCCAAAGGGCTTTGTTTCAAAACAGTGTCTGTGGACTTTGACCTTTTTTCTTTTGAAATCCTCTCCTTGCCCCAACTTCTCTGGATGAACCTATAGTCCCCCATACCATACATATCCCAGACAGCAATCCCTTGCCATCTAGGGGGGAAAAAAATCTTGTTTTGGACTGTTGGTCTTTCTGTCACTCATGTTAGGCTAAGAGTGATCAGAAGAATCCTCGAGTTGTAGTATTTATAAATGAATTATAAACTGGGTATGGTAGTGCCCAGTGATTTGGGAGGCTGAAGATCACAAGTTTGAGGCCAGCCTGGGCAACTTAGTGAGATCCTGTCTCAAAAAAAAAAAAAAAAAGAAAAGAAAAAAGAAAGAAATGAAAAGGAAAGGAAAGAAAATGGCTAGGGATATAGCTCAGTGGTAGAGCACCTCTGGGTTCAATGGGAAACCTGCCCCCCATACACAGACAAACTAAATTATACAGAAATGATGCAGGACAGGAGTCTAGTGAGAAACACTTTACAGCAGTTCACAGGGCAGCACTCAACATCTCCAACTGGCCTCCATATATGCACCTCAAATTCAAAGCTTCAAAACTGAATCCACTCCACCTGCAAGTCCTCCTCATTTCAGTAAAGAGCAACTCCATTCTCACAACTATTAAAGATAAAAATCTGAGAGTCATCCTTAATTTCTGCTTCTCTCCCACCCTCCCCCTCTAATCCATCAGCAAATCAAGTCAATTATTCCTTACAATATTATTTAGGATCCGACTGATTCTGATTACTTCCTCTATCTTGATGCAAGCCTTCATTATCTCTCACCTGGTCTCCTTCCTACTGACAGGATCACTCTCAGTCTAATCTAGGCAGAGCAAGCCGATTATTACTAAAATACCACTAAATATCACTCTTAAAATACAATTCACTCTTAGGCTTTAAATTCTGCAATGGTTTTCTGCTTCACACAGAGTAAAGCCAACTCTGTATCTTGACCTAAAGAGCCCTGTACCTGTCTCTCATACATACCCACACCCTGCACACACCTACTCTTCCTTTGCCCCTCCCTTTTCTCCTCCAGTTGCTCAAAAGCTTTCTTGCTGTTCTCTGAACACACTAAGCGGACTCCAGCCTCAGTGTCTTTCAGTCCCCCTTCCCTTGGCCTGGACCACTCTTGCCTGTGACAGTTTCATCGCTTGCTTTCTTGTGTCTGCTCAGATGTTACCCTCTCAGAGGAGCCTCTGCTGATAGCACACACACATACCCAACCTTCTCCCTTTCTGGGTCACCTACCCTGTCTTATATTTCACTATAGGAGTCAACACAATTGAGCATGTATTTACCTATTTGTGGATTTGTTTCCCCCTTATAGAAAGCAAGCTCCTTGGGGTAGGGTTTTGGTTTGCTTTACTCTTTGCTATACACCCAGCACTTATGACACTTGGTTTTCCAGTAAATAAGCGAACCTTAAATAGCTTAAGAAATAAAGGAAAACTCATTCTAAGGAATTAGAATAAATTACAGAATCAAAAGGCAGGAATATTACCATTTTAGGAAGAGATTTCCCCCATTGTGTTTTTACATCTTGTTTGTTGGAATCAGGATCCAATTAAGGACTACATGATACATTTTGTCATGTCTCTTAAGGCTCTCCATCTAGAAATAGCCACCTCTTGCTTTTTTTTTCCCCCTGTGATATTTATTGATTCACTAGAGACTAAGTTACTTGTCCTTAGAATGTCCCACTTTCTATTTACTTCTTGATGCTACTGTTTGTTTACTTACCCTCTGTACTACCTGTAAACTGGAAGTTAGACTGACAGGATAGAATACATTCAGGTTAGAATATATTGTATGTATAGACTATACATACATATATATGGCAAGAATTAGGTGATCTATGGACTTCTTTTTTAAATATTTTTTTAGTTGTGGATGGACATAATAACTTTATTTTTATGTGGTGCTGAGGATTGAACCCAGTGCCTCACACATGCAAGGAGTGTGCTCTATCATTGAGCCACAAGCCCAGCCCTGGACTTCTTCATACTACAGTACATCAGAATGAACTTCCTGTTTTCTTTATGCCACTGCTAGTGACTCTCAGCTTGGTCAGTGAGTTCAGTTGTTAACAGTGTAATCTATCTAGTGGGGTGCTGGGTTTCGGTTAGCAACTAAAAGGCTCTGGGGCCACTCCAGTTAAATTGGGCTAATTGGGCTGTGCAAAATAATCACACAAGAGACACAAATATCTTTTTCTTTGGAGTCGCTGTGAAGGCTCCTCTGATCTTAAGGGTCCAAAGGAAAAGAGAGAGCTACAGCATATGCTGACCCCTTTTATTGAGGAGAAGCTATTCAAATGAGGCAAGGGGTCAGGTTTCAGGGGGCTGAGTCTATCTTCATGATGTCCACCGTCAGCAGGTTGACTGACATCTGGGTAGGCCACACCCAAGGCCACAGTAAGAGAAGGGGACACACACAAGGCACTTCCATGGAACATTCTATCTTAAACAGGGCAAGGGGTTATATTACAAAGGAACAGGTGAGCGTAGCTCCACCCATTGGGCTGTAGCAAGACACACCCAAGCACGAGACACCGATCCTCGAACCCAAGAAGGGTGGGGAAAGCTCTGCCACATTTCTGTGACTGAGCACCTCAGCACCAGCTGGGGAGTGTGACTCAGTCAAGTGCAAGATTGGTCTCCCACAGAGGGGGACTACAGCTTTATTGTTTCATTCAGTAAGTTATCTGCAAGGAGCCTCTGACTTTCAACTGGATTCTTACCATCAGCAGTTAAACATGCCCAAGTCTCTCCCTTTAAAAAGAGTGTGGTGGGGAGGAGAAGGCAGTCAGAGGCTACGGCAGTTGTGGTTCAAGTGGATCCAGGGACAGCTCGTGCTGGTTGGTACCATCCATATGATGCTGGCTTTGCAAGCCTGCAGAATGTAAGAGTGATGGAGTCTTGGAAGCTTCCACCAAGATTTTAAATGGAAAGCCTGAGTAGCTGAGCAGTGTGCTGTGGAGTGGAATGGAAATGTGGGAGTGAAGCTAAAACTGCAATGGAGACCCAGGGAAGGTGAAGACGTCAGCATCGGGCAACAATTGTCAAGGAAAGCTATGGGCAGCACACAGAGTCAGCCCAAAAGAGTGGACATGTGCATTGCCTCCAGCAAGGCTGAAAGAATGGGGCGTCCCAAGTCCTGGCAGCCCACGTCTTGCCACAGTGTGACCTGGATGGAGCCTCAGGATTTAATGTTTACCCTACTGTATTCTGGTCTTGATTCAGACTGATCCTTCCTTACTATTTTCCTATTCCAAGCTTTTGAAATGAGAACATTTACCTTGCATTTATCTTACCATTGTGTCTTGGTGGTATGTGACTTTCTTTTTTATTTTTATGGGTCTCACATTTGAGTTTGTCTGGGGTCTTGAAGAAGACTTTGTACTTAAACATTTGACCAATGCTGGAACAGTTAAGACTCTGAGGACTCATGGGCATGGACTGAATGCATTTTGCATTATAAGATGGACAAGAGCCACTGGAGGCTAGGGCTGGAATGCTACAGTTTGGATGAGAGTTCCCCAAGGGTCTAGGTGTTAAAGGCTCAAACCCTAGTGAGATATTCTTGGGAGGTGGTGAAACCTTTAAGAGGTGGGGCCTTACGGGAGGCTCTTAGGTCACTGAGGGCCTTGAAGGGAGTAGGGGACCCCAGGTCACTTTCTCCTCTTTTTGTCTCCTGGCTGATAAGGTGAGTGGTTTGCTCTGCCCTACAGTCAAACCATGGTGTGCACCTTGCCAGAGGCACAAGGTTATGGGGACTAATTTTCATGAGCTGGAACCTCCAAAACTGTGAGCTAAAATAAACCTTTTCCCTTTCTTTATAAAAAATATTTTTTTTCTTGACCATACATCTCACCATCACCTACAATCCTTCTCTTAATTAAATACTTCTAAAGAGAGCTGCCTATCCATGACCCCATTTCCTCATGTGGATTTCTGAATTCTCAAGCCTTGTTCATGTCTAGTAGACCTGGGCTGATTAAACAGGCATGATGGAAAAGGAGTGGGCAGCTATAAGGCAAGAGGCTGTCTGAGAAATGTTTCTAAGCCACAAAACCAGAATCCTTGCGATGTTAGTGCTAGACAACTGTGAACTTTCTTTGGATAATGTCAAAGCTGCCTTTCCCCTGTTCTTCCCTTTCTGCTGCTAAATAGAGGAACTAACTTTTCATTCTTTAAGAAAATCAGGATAGAGAACATAATGCACAGATTTCCTAGGTTAATTTTTTCTTCTTGTCCAACAATTGTCAGATTCTTTAGAGTAACAATAAAGTGCAATTCTAACGTAAACTCATAGACACGCCTAGAGGCTATCTAGGGTAAAATGAGGCTATAAGATGCCCTAGGTGAAAGCTAAGATGGTTAAGTTCTAGGAAATTATGTTCTGAAGGTGAGGATTCAAGGTTAATGGTAAGCTGTGTATTGATGTGTTTGCATGTAACTATAAGCTTAGAATTCCTGGGAATAATATTTCTGCATCAGGTATAATTTAGTAAGTAGCTCCCTCAAACTGTGCACCTAAAGCATGCTCAAATTTTGAGAGATCAAGTCCCCTAAGAGCATTTATTTTGACCAACAGAAAACAAAGACATCTATTACTTGCCCATCCACAGCTCTTGTATATATCCACAGTTTAATAAAAAGTGGAAATCAGAGAAGTGGCAAAATATTTTCTAAAACTGTGTGAACTCTATATGGAGAAAAGGGAAACATGGAAACAGGTTGGGGGCAGAATTGGCAAGACAAATGGTGACCCACTACTGAAGAAGTCCTCCACTGGGTCCCAACCAGGCAGACTAGCTGCAGCATAAACCAGCTCAGAGTCTTTCTTATTTAAAGCTTAAAGTAATCAAGATCCTAATCTGAGAAAGGCAAAAGCCAAAAATAATCTCTAACCGACCAGACTTTTCCTGAATTAATGACAAGGAAGGCATTACAGATAGAAATTAAAGTTTTCCACTGACACTGGTGTGTGTATGTAACAGAAAATTGAGGAGGATGTCTCCTAAGGATTTAGATCTGGTATGCATGGGCCCCAACAATCAAACATACTTTTTTTTTTAATCTTCCAACATATGGAAACAGAATCTCCCTAATGGTTTACTAATAGCTCAATGATCAGCTGCATCCTGCCCACCTCACATACAACACATCTGCCACAGTTGATTATTTATTTATTTAGCCACATATTTGATTTTAAAAATCATCCCTAAATATAAGAAAACTGGAGAGAGGAAGAAATGTTAACAATAAGAGCAAGATAAATACAGTGTATTTTCTCTACCCCTAAAATAAGAAAGAAAAAAGCAAGACACCCCCTACCCCCAACCCCCCCAAAAAAGGACAAAAAACAAAAACCAAGCCTTGGACTGGGAAAAGATAGTTATAAACTAAAATTCAAATAAAGGATTAGCATGCAGAATCTTAAAAGCAGTTCCTTCAAACTACCAATACAAACAACTAACATTCCTATAGGAAAATATGCACATACAGGAATTGGCCAATCATAGCAGGAAAAACTCCAGAGGCCAATATATAAATGGAATAACTCAACCTCAAAAATGAGGGAAATGCAAATTAAAATACACGATACAGTTCCACACCTGTTAAGATTTTTAAAAATATTTTTTAGTTGTAGATGAACACAATATTTTTATTTTATTTATCTATTTTTCTGGGGTGCTGAGGATAGAACCCAGTGTCTCACATATGCCACACAAGTGCTCTACCACTGAGCCACAACCCCAGCCCCCCCACACCTGTTAGATTAACCAAATGTTTTTTAACTTAACTGGGAATTAGCAAGGTTATAGAAAAATGACAACTCTCATTCTCGTGGGGCAACTCTTTGTAAAGCAATGTGGCAATATCTATCAAAGGTGATGATACTTATGTCTTTCACTGATGATTTAATTCCCCTCCTGGATAACTAGGTTTTAAAAGATACTCTAGTGCATGCATGCAAGAGCAGGGTATAACTATTCATACCACACTACTTAAAATAATAACAAACTGGAATACCAATGGCCACTGTCAAAATGGATAATTGTAGCATCTTCACAGCAAATTATTATAAAGTGATGAAAACAAATGAACTACAGTAAGAAACAGCACAGCTGAATCCTAAAAATAATGTTGAGGAGAAAAAGTTCCAGCATAAATATCTCTTTTACAAAACTCAAAACCACTAAAACTAAATAACATTATTTAGGATGTGTAAATATGTAATACAACTTTTTTTTAAGCAAAAGAATGATCATATCATATGAGGAAGGAACACACAGGTGACTGCTATTTTTTAAATTCTTGGGCTGAGGACTTTCTAGATAGTTGTCCATGTATTATTAAGTAAGCAAACATAAATATATAAAAGTGAGTCGTACATGGATGAACTACAGGCACATGCCACCATGCCTGACAAGATGAGTCTCGTTATAATGAACCCAACTTTTGCACATGCACTCCACTGCTAACAATGAATTAAATAGAATGAAATAAAATGAAAGGAAAGAAAAAAAGAAACTGAGGTTCAGACAAGTTCAATAACTTGCTTAACATCAGAGGTAGAATTGGGGTTTGAAGCACACATGACTGAAACTCGGGCTCAAGACGGCTCTGCTGGGCTGCCTCTTTTGAAAGGGCATCTCACTGGATTTGCTGGATCTGACTGAGGACCTTTGTTTCTTATTTCAACTTTATTCCTAGGGTTGTTACAATCCCACAGCTCCCTCGCTCTCCTTGTGCTTAACCATTCCTTTTCTGTGGCTTTGTGGGTACTTCAATCCGTTCATTTCTTAAATATTTATTTGTGTTTCCCAGGGCTCTATCTTCAGCCAGCTAATTAAGAAACTTCCCTCCTGGGAGGAAGGAAAGATAAAAGGAATACAAGGTATAAATGAGCCAGTCCTACCTTCCTTAAGAAAAAAAAAAAAGAAAGAAAAAAGAGAATGCAGTTTAATAGTCAAAGAATCTCACCAGTGGTGATTTTGCTCAAGGTCAAATTGCAGCTGTTAATCACAATTTATCCTTGAAATGGAATGAAATTGCACAAGCAATCTTAACCTCATAATTTAACAGAAATTATTTTATAAACCCAGTGCTCTTATTTTTAGTTACTGTAACTTCTTGATTTCCTTTTCAACATGGATATTTGCTCCATTTAACACATTTTAAATAACTGTCATATAGTGAAAGCATTGTTAAGGTGAAAAGAAAGCAGCATATCAGTTATCTTTTCGAAGTTCAGCTGTACCAGTTACACATATCGAAAGATACCAATGAACCATTGTATCCAAGCCAGTTTGTTAAATAAAATGGAAAAAAAATACAGCTGTATAATTCAAATGGCCTTCTCACTCCACATCTTAAAAGTCCACAGAACTTTTACTAAAGCAAGGCATTATGCATCTGTACAATTACACTGCTGTGTTGGTCAACAGCCATTTGAATCCATACGAGACAAGCAAAAATAAGTGCTTCTTAGCTAGTAATAATTTTCACACTGATCATGAAAGCTCATGTTAAGCCATGAAAGACTATTTGAAATTGAACTTTAAAAATTTAAGCCTAAACTGCTTTCGCTTCCTAGAAGTCTGTTCTCTGAAAGTTAGTTTCAAGTAGTATGTTGTTATATCCAATTTTCTAATTTTCTACTTAGCTCTTTGCAATCAGATTTAAATTTCTTATACTTTACAAAATACATTTTAAAAAACATAATGAATCAGGTGAGGTATTTTAAAGCTTGTATGATCATTCTTACCAAGGAATTTAAAACACACAAGCCACCCCATCCCACATTTGTCTTTCTCAACAAGTTAGCCAAAACCCTAGAGCTGCACCGAGCAAGTGGATACGAGAGCAAGAGAAGCCAGAGATGCTGAAATTGTAGCACAGAACACCAGGTTTTGTGTTTTGTTACTTGGCCATCATGTTATTCATTACTTGGAGCATTTTTAAGTGTCCTCAAAGTAAAACAACCCACCTTCTTGTGAACTGAAGGCTGTCTGTTCCGTATTCCAGGAAATAAAGAAGGCCCTGCTCTCCAGACTGTCTCTCTTCACCTAGAAGTTCCGTTCTGCAACAGTTTGTGCTGTCACCCAGACATTTACTGAATATGCCAGGAACAGGGGCCATATGAATACAACTTAGACTTTATAGACTGTCTCAAGGAATTTACAGTCTATAAAGGAAGACAGACATATAAATGCATACACACATAGGCCCATGATCCATTATAATAAACCCTAGGGCTACATGTGTTTCAGAATTTTGAGGTTTTCAGATTAAACAAAGTGTTCGTTATATGTAGCAAAATACCGCCTATAGACCGTGGGGCAGCATCCCACATAATCAGGAACTGACATTTCTGCAGCAAAATATAAATATGTTCACAGTTAGAATGGACAAAGAGATTAGCAATCGCTTCAGATCACACTGTGCCACCAAATCAGTTCATGACATATAAGGTTTTGACACTAAATGATTTATGAAGAAAAAAGCCTGTATGTTGAGAGCATTTTGGATTTTTAAGTTGTGAATAAGAGATCAGTGACCTGTAATACAAATGAGGAAGATTACCTGGCATGAAAGCAGGAGGACCTCTGCACTTAAATGGTCTAAGCAGGAGTTATTGAAACAAGAAGATAATATTAACTGAGCACTTACTATGTACATACACTATTCAAAGGTCTTAATAGTAGTAGTTTAGTTCTTAGAACAATCCCATTCTACAAAATGACCTACTCTAGATCCCTTGTTGATAAATTTCAATTTCCTTATGCAATAACCTGCCTACCATGTTCCATTCAAATAAGTAACCTAGTTGATAGTATTCTAGGATCAAGTATCTTAAATTATTTTCTTATAAAAACTGGTCACTATGAGCCTTCTTAACTATCCTAAATATCCTAAATATATGAGACAACAAAGCCTCATTCAGCTTAAACTACATTACTGGGTTTTTAGTTTCACATTATCAAACAGCTCTTTTTTTATCCTTCAAACAATTGCTAGGTAAAGTGTTTAGGTGGGGAACTTAATATAAAAACAGGTAGGGGGGTGAGTCAAGCCAATGCTAAATGTTGCCATAAAAGTACCAAAAATCTTATGTAAAGCCCAAGAGTATTTGGGTTTGGAGCATAAGGACAAAGTAGTAGTCTAACTTTCTTCAGCTATAGAAAAATTGATAAAATTGACAGATTCTATTAATTCTCTTTAGCTGAAAATTTTTGACAAGCTAAATGGCAGAGGAAATGGCAGGGCTTCTAAAACATAACAGGGAAGAAACTGATGTTTCAGGATACTCATGAACTCTTCATATAATGAAAGTTTTAAAAAATCAATACAAGAGCAAGAATGATACACAATACAATGAAACATCACGAAGTACTTGACTAATAGAAATCACTTCATGCAGCTTCTACTTCAAAGCCGATTGAATAACATTTCTCTCTTAGTAATTCTGGAAGAAAAAAATCTTCATAATGCATATTGGAAAAAGAGTATTGAGAGACACACGCTGTGAGCTTACTAAGCATTTTTTCTTCATAACTATTGCCCCAAAGTAATTTTTTGGTATCTGACTGTTATGGTTTAGATATGAGGGTGTTCTTCAAAGTCTCACGTGTGAGACAATGTAAGAGTGTTCAGAGGTGAAATGTTTAGACTATGAGAGCCTAATCTCCCTCCCCTCCCTCCCCGCCCCTCCCTCCCTGGTTGCTTGAGTTGCTTGTCCTGAGCTGCTTTCTTCTGCCACTCCCTTCCACCATGATGTTCTGCCTCACCGGCCATGGACTGATCCTCTGCAACAATCAGCCAAAACAAACTTTTTCCCCCTCTACGATGTTCTTATCAAGTCTTTTGTTCACAGCAGTGAAAAGCTGACAACCACACTGTTCCATCCACAGGATATTAGCAGAAAGGAGGTAAAGCCGCATAATGATGATGGGCTACACCTCTGGGACCCAACTGTTGGGGCTGGAACATTGGCTTCTACAACTGCATGGGTTAACAGCAAAGTTAAGGAGGGTCAGCTGAAATTTTTACAACCATTGAGAAAAAGAGGTCTTTCTTCTTGTGGGAGGAGGGTACTGGGGATTGAACTCAGGGGCACTCGGCCACTGAACCACATCCCCAGCCTTATTTTTGTATTTTATTTAGAGACAGGTTCTCACTGACTTAGTTGTTTAGCACCTCCCTAAATTGCGAAGACTGGCTTTGAACTTGCGATTCTCCTGCCCCCTACCTCCCAGGCTGCTGGGATTACAGGTAAGTATCACTGAGCCTGGCAAAAAAGAGGTCTTTGAACTAAATGTGGAAAAATATTAAAAATATTTTAAGGAAAAGGCAGTATATTTGAGCAGAAAGTGTTTTTAAGTAATCGAAATATTTTGGATGTCTATTTTTTTTCATCCTTGGCTATACAATCTAACTACTGTCCATTCTTTTCAGTTACATTATAATTAACCTGGAGGCTTACCTTAAATTAAAAATTTCAAACTTGTTTAATTTTTTTCAAAGTTAATTTTTCAGTTTGTGATCCAGGTTTTTCCATTTTTGATTTTTCCTACGGATCTATTCTCATTATTAGTATTACCTCCAGCAGAGGGCAGACAAAAGATAGGTAAAGATAATAAAGTTAGTAACTTACGGGCTTCCAGAGAAGCGTTAGTAGCTTCACCAAAAGACCTTAAATAGCATTAATGCTGTATGATCTCTGGACACTGTCTTGCCTGATTGAAATAACTTTGACTAAAATGTAGCAACGAGTTGGCAAATATAAATTCAAGCATTCATTCAACAATTCTGAGTCTCAGCCACATACCAGGCATATTTTAGGCTCTAGTGATTTAGTAGTAAACAAAACAAACAAAAGTTTCAATTGTTGCAGCACTTTCTTCAGTATCAGTTTGGGAGATAGTGAAGCACATAAACAAATTGCATGTTTTTAAATACAGATAGGAAGTATACAGGGAATACAGGGAAAATTATCAGAAGTTGGTGGGCATGGTGGTGTAGCCTGAAATTCCAGCAACTCACAAGGCTGAGACAGGAGGATCCCAAACAACTTGGCAAAGCCCTCAGCAACTTAGTGAGACCCTAAGACCCTGTCTCAAAATAAAAAATGAAAAGGGTTGGGGATGTGGCTCAGTGGTAAAGCACCCCGGGGTTCAATCCCCAGTACTTAAAAAAAATAATTACAACAACTTGGAGGGTGACTAGAAAGTTCATTTTTAAATTAATTAATCTAAGTAAAGCTGAATGGAGTGAGGAAATGAGTTATGCCTTAAAAGAGGAAAACTTATCAGGCAGAAACAAAAGTAAATGCAAAGGTCCTAAGGCAGAAACTAACTTGCAGGAAGATAACGAGGTAGAGGCATAGCAATTCTGAAACTGTTCTGTGTGTCTGGTAGAACTGAACAAATGAATAAATTCATTATATTTGGGAGCTAGAGTTTTCACTCTGGGAGAAGAGAACTAAAATGTGGAATGGAAGAAGACACTAAAGAACACTCTGTTGTTGGATAGGATTCATGGCATCAATGTGAACTCAGGATTAAAATATATATACATATGTGCTGCTGCAGATGTGCATGATGTTTCCTTGCTCTGTCTGGTGAAAGGGCCTAGGAGTAATGATGCCTAGAGTAGCAGCTAACACAGCTAACGTCCCTATCGAAAAGGCTATTTCCAGAGCTGCAACAGGGGAATATGAGCCTTGAACATTTTGTGCCACAAAGTAAGATAGTTTTTTATTTTTATTTTTTTAAGTTGGTCATGTCAGAAGGAAATAGGTGTCTATCATGATGGCACCTGCATGTAGTCCCAGCTACTCTGGAGGCTGAATAGGGAGGATTGCTTAAGGCCAAGACCAGCCTGGATAACATAGCCAGACCCTGTCTCAAAACAGCAACAAAAGAATATAGGAATTAATTCAAAGGAGCTCCCAGTGGCCAAATCTTGGGAAATTTGAGCATCAAAATGAATAATGATGGTAATATATTATAACCCACTGAATAACATGAGAATCCATTCCACATTTTTAGTTTTCTTCTCCCAGAGTAAAAACTCTAGCTCCCAAATGTAATGAATTTATTCATTTGCTCAATTCTACAAGACATACAAAATACTTTCAGAATTGCTATACCTCTACCATACAAAAAACAGCATCGTACGCGGAGTTCAAGATGTTTCTCAGTTCTTTTTGTCTTTAGATTAAGGGCATACAGTTAAAGTCCTATGTTCAAAACTTACTTGGATTCATTTTTTTTTCCTTCTGAGAGTTCAGGCTATTCATTGAAATAGAGTTGGCTCAATTTTTTATTGTTTGTATTCAATTTTAAAGTCCACTCCCCTATCTTGTTAATTTTATTTTTGAACATGTAAAAGATAAACAAGTTTCCAAAATTCAAAACCACACAAGAAGGTATGTCATTCTTTTTAAATTTCAGTTTATTCAGTTTCTACTCACCCTGATATAGGAAACTAACTGGTTTCTGGCTACCTTTCCTGTATCAATTTATTTTAAAAAACAATTTTTGATGACACAGGGGATTGAAACCAGGGATACTCTACCACTGAGTTACATCCCTGGCTCATTTTTTAAAATTTTCTAAATTTTAAAAAAATTTAGTTGCAGATAGACACAATACCTTTATTTTATTTTATTTACTTTTATGCTGTGCTGAGGATCAAACCTAGTGCCTCACACATTCTAGGCAAGCACTCTATCCTTGACCCACAACCCTAGCCCCCTGTTTTTTAAAATTTGAGGTAGGGTCTCGCTCAATTCTTCCTTCTGGCCTCAAACTTGTGATCCTGCTTCTCTAAATTGCCCCAGCTAGCTTCAATGATGCACTCTTCCTGCATTGGCCTCCCAAATCACTGGGATTATAGGCGTGGGCCACCATGCCCAGCTATCCTGTATTGACTTTTGTTCTGTCAAAGAATTAGGCTTCTGCAAGGTGAAGCAGAGAAATGAGGTAATCACTGAAGTAGAATACTGTTTTTTTTTTAATTCACTATAAGATGGGAGACATGAGTATGTTTACATAGAACATAAATGATTCCACAGAAACTGAAAACTTGAAAATGAGAAGGAATAATCGCAAGGGTAAATATCTATCAAAATATCTCTTGGTTTAATCTGAAGGATATCAAAGGGTTCCCATATTCCAAAATAGGTATCACCCTGTTTGTAACCTGACAAATTAGTTACA